CTGGCGATGTGGGGCGATGGCTCGGGGCAGTTGCCCGATCCAGATGGGGAGGAGAAGGGGATCGGGGAGAAGTGGGGGGTAGTGGCCGCTAGGGTTCGGGGACAGGGGATAAAGGAGTGAGGGAGGGCGGCCTGGGCCGGTTTGGGCCGGCCTAGTGGGGTGGCCAACGGGGCCGGCTGGGTCGAGGCCCAGTGAGGGCTTTCTTTTTATTTTTTGTTTGTTTGTTTCTTTCTATTTTGTAATTTCTTTTCTTTTTATTTCTTTTCTGTTTTATTTCTAGTTTCTTTTTCATTTAGTTTTTATCTAATATTAAAATGATCCCTAATTTAGTAATACATTAAAACCCACTACAACAATAGGTTTTACCCCAAAGCAATTCAGTTTAGTATTTTGTTAATTATAAAAGCATTTAAATATTGGTTTTTGCTACTGTTTTATTCACCTAAGGGTATTTAAACATTTTATAAAAAGTGGTTTCTTAACCATAATTACCTATGCATTATTTGGCACGTTTAGAGCATTTTAGTTTTAATGTTTGGAAACTTTTATTGTTTAACTTTATTTTTAAAATTTGAACTGGGTTTCGAACTGACGCGAGATTAGCAACAATAATCGAGGTGACATGGCATCATTAGCGGAGGTTACTGTAGACAAGGACTCTGATAATTGTCACACATCAGGTACGGGCACATGGCAAATCAAACGTTTTTGTAGCAAGCTTAGTTAAGCAAGGATGATAACTTTAGGTTGTAAGCATGACAACTTCCTGCTTCAATTTATTTTTGATAGAAACTTGCAGTGTGTCGTTGAAATTTGCCATCCATGCATGATTGGAATTGTCATCGAAAAACGTCAGAGTCGGAGTGTCACCCACCTGGCTGTGGCACTTTCATTTGGGAAAAACAATGGCATGGATTCAACATATACAAATCACGTCACAAAATCTCAAACAGAAATTCGAATCTATCTCCGAAACAAAGACAAAACTAACTATGAATTCAGCCATATCTACGTGGATACTCTGGCTGCGCCGAACACCGGGGAAAACAAGACAAGAAGGCGTATTCCGCATTTACGTGTTCGCCGGAACGGCTCTTCTTTATCCTCTCGCCGGGCAACCGACGCCGTCCACTCCGGCTTCGCCAGTTCGCCTCCTTCGCCGTCGCCATGGCCGACGCTAAATCCCAAGGCCGAGCACCGACTACCGCTCCCGCTCCCGCTCCCGCTCCCACATGGGCGCAACGGACCGAGGCCCTGACACACATCCTGACCCACCCGTCCCACTCGCCGTCGCTCCACTCGCAGCTCTTCCTCGCGTCCCGCGTCCCGTGCCCACCTCGGGGCTCCTCCTACCCGCCTTTCCTCTGCCCCGGCGCGTCGCTCCTCCGGTGGGCCCTCACCTCCGTCTTCCTGCCCCGCGCCGCGCGCCTTGGCCTGCCGCCTTCGTCCTGGCGCTCCCGGTGCCCCTTCCAGTTCCCGCCGCCGCTCGTGCCCTCCGCCGGCATCGAGCCGGCACCGGAGCGGTGGACCGAGGCCGAGCTCCGGGGGTACGCGCAGCGGCGGCGGGCTCGGAGGGGGCCCATGAGGACGCGGCCGCCGGTGTCCATGGCGGGGGTGGTGCTGACGACCGTGCCCAACATCGTGATCATCGTGGTCATCATGCGCGAGCTCTTCTGGGTCCGGCCTGGCCGCTTCTGAGCCATTCAGGTAAGCGGATGCTCACGCAGCCGTGCGAGTTCTTCAACTGTGGACTGCGGTGCACTGACATTGTGTGATAGTAGCATATTTGTTATACAAAACAAATCGTCGACTGCAGCTTGCGAAATTGTGACACTATTTCCAGCGTCTTCCAGTTTGGGTAGAACTTGTGAATGCAGTGTTATTTGTTACTCGTACAACTTTTAGCTGCAGATGTTGCTCAACTAGGCTTCTCCAAAGAGAAAGCATTCAAGTCTGAGATAGATGCTGCGATCACCTGTTTTAGCTGCAGATGTTGCTGAACTAGCCTTCTCCAAAGCACAAGTCTGGGACAGATGCCGCGCTAACCTGTTCAACTGTTCAGCGAGAAACAACAAATCGATGTATGCTAGTGCAATTCTAATACATTTTGTCTGTCATGCTAGTAAGACCCTTGTGCAATGCTAATAAAACAGAAGTTAAACATAGTGTAGTAGTAAGCTATAACTTTTTATGTTTATCAAGTATGGACTATGGACAAAGGATGTAGTTACTTATTATATGCAAGACATATTGGGAGTCATAGGCCAGCCAATATGAAGGTTATGATATCGAGGTCCGCTCACAAGATTCGATGAGCTTTGGCCGTTTGGCGTAAATAGGTAGCCATTGTTTTGTGGATTTGGATTTTGACCTAGGTGGTGAAGATTGGAGATTGGCGGAGGGGATCAGGCGATGGGAGACGGCAGGAGCTAGGAGGTGATGGGAGAGTGTTGCTTGCTGCTATGTTCATAAATTTTACATGGCCCTTTGTGAGGGCTGAAATGAGAGTGTCTGAAAAGTAAAAAAAATAAAAAATTGAGGGAAGAATGTCTGAAAAGTAAAAACTAGTGATATCAGATAGGGAACTCTGCCTATGTTGTCTCAACATAGCCGGTCCCAAGCCCGGGTAAAGGAGGAGGGTTGTGATAGGCTTGGCGAGCCAACGTAAAAACTCAGCCACTCTTATGGAGATGAAACCCAAAAGATCCGGAATGATGATATACAAGATAGAGTTGGGGTAGCACCAATTGAAGAGAAGCTTGTCCTACATCGTCTGAGATGGTTTGGGCATATTCAGCGCAGGCCTCTAGAAGCTCCAGTGCATAGCGGACGGCTAAAGCGTGTGGAGATTGTCAAGAGAGGTCGGGGTTGACCGAATTTGACATGGGAGGAGTCCGTTAAGAGAGACCTGAAGGATTGGAGTATCACCAAAGAACTAGCTATGGACAGGGGTGCATGGAATCTTGCTATCCATGTGCCAGAGCCATGAGTTGGTCGCGAGATCTTATGGGTTTCACCTCTAGCCTACCAGAACTTGTTTGGGACTAAAGGCTTTGTTGTTATTGTTGTTGTAGAGATATCAGATAGGGGTAACGTGGCACCACAGTATGCCACCTATGGGAGCAGCGAGAACTGATAATTCTTATTGAAGTGCATGTTGTAGATGCATATTAGCTTTATTAGCCATCTTTTTCGAGTCTGCAAGTTAGTTACAGTGATTTTCTGTATTACTGAATAGGACTGATGTTTGGTGCAGGATCAGGAGGCACATGGATCTCAACTGCTCCATCAAGCACCTGGGTCATCTTATGCATTTTAGGGCGTGTCGCTTGCTCCTGTCATTGCAGTAGTTGGTGTTCCCTGGTTCGATCACTTGCCATACTCAACCTATTTACAGGTTGACTCCACACACCGCAGTGCCACTGCCACAAACAGCTGGACCCTCTTCATGTCAAGGGAAGCTGCCTTGTCTTCCAGCACCAGAAGATTGATATATCCAGCCCAGTCCGTTAGAATTGCTCTATCCTCATGAGATATTTCTTGTTCAACATTTTACCTGCAAGATATGAGCTCCAAAAAGGGTAGATGAGGGGAAGGTTTACAAGGATAGAGCGTCCATGGAGCAAAAGAGGTCCCAAGGACCCAATAATATGTCTTGTCTTTCTTCCGCTTGTCGTGTCATTGCTGATCTCAGATCAGGAGCTGCTGTTCTTTGGCACGTTTAGATACAGTGTTCTGCTCATGGTGCTTTTCGCCTTTCTGTTAGACAGCAGCAGCTCCTTCCAGCAATGAACTTGGTGAAATACCAGACTGCCAAAAAACAAAACTTGGTGAAAAAAAGTGCAGAAACAGTTCAACATGCACATCTCATGCAATTATCCTGATTGATAGTGTACTTGTGCTCATGGCAGCAAGAGCCCAGTCCACAGCTATCACTGAAAGTAGATCAAACTGGTTGGATGTTGAATGATGTTCATCAAAGTCACGACTCTGGGCTTGGACGTCTGCTTGGCACCCTCTGTACTTCTGCTGATCAATGAATGCATAACATGTTGGGAACTGGCAAATGGCAACCCACCTCTGGTTCCTGGTCCAGTCAAATCTGCAGTACCTGTGCTTTAATTTTGTGTTGAACTGCTGTGGTACATGTTCAGCGTGCATACTCTGCTTGCATCTCCTGTTACAACGATGTTGCAGATGCCCCTTGAGATGAAGTTGCAGGAACGTTCCACTGGATGCTCGCTGCTGCCATCTTTGGTAGATGCATCGCCGGAATTCGCCATCTGTTTCAAGCTGGGACGGTGGTGGTGGTCTGCCATGCAGGTCATCTCCACATATGTGATGCTGATTTTTGATCTTTCAAGGCACGGTGAAGTACTACCAGCTGTGAGCCGCTCCTGACGATGTCACTGGACCAAGACGAGCTGTATTGGTTTCCACAGAGTGCAGCCACAGCGTAAAACACGGGGTCTCTCTCATAATCTTGCACATTGAGGAGAAGCCTGCCACCGGTGTTGTCTGTCGCCATGAGCCGGCTGCAGAGTTTTATCCCATGGAGCATTGTTAAGCACTAGATTGGGCAGGTCGGTATTGGCCGGGTTGGTGAAGGTGTCCAAACCAACTGCCCTGGTAAGCACAGTCTCTGGTGTCTGTCGTAGGATGCACAGATGAATCTGGGATTCCAAAGCTCTGAGTGTGCTGAAGGAGCCACCCAAACTGTGCTTCAACTGGCATTCGCATGCTGTAGGTGGTGTATCAAACGATGGCCTTGCCAAACCAGAGGGTGACAAGCGAGCCAAAGGTTGTGTTGCGCTGATGGAGCACTTGAGGATGAGCATCTTACAAGGAGGATGGAGAATTCGGGAGCCACCATTTCTCTTTGCTAGTTGCAGCAGCTCTTGCTTGAGGCTGTAAACCTTCCACATTATCAGGAGCATGGTTGATTTAGACCATCAAGTTAATCTATTGCCTAATATACTTTCTGGAAACGCGACAAGAACAAATCCTTCACTGGCTTAATCGTTTGAAGCTTTTTCCTCTCCAAACAATGGTTGATTGCCCGAAGGCTGAGCTACTATAGTATGTTTTTTTTTGGTTAGAAGGATAGGGGTTTCCCCGGGCACATTTTATTGAAACGAGGCCAGCAGAAAACAGAAATCATGTTCAGTGTGCTGTCACACACAGCCACAAGTACAGCTAAAATTCCAGGTAACAAAGACCTATCCTATTACAAGCCGAGGAGCTGCCAGCATTTTTGCAAAGCTGGCCCACACACAGGATAGTAATCACGAATCTGGAGTCTTGCCTTCCATCCAATGCAGGGCAATCGCTTGACGAGGGCTTCATCCTGCCTGAACGAATTGGTAAGCGTCAGACTTTGGTGCAGCTCAAGACCTCAAGTACAATCAAGGCTCCCGCCAAGGGTTTCCGCTGCAGGCAAGTCGCAGCAGTTGTTCGCGTATGTGTTCCATACTCCTGGTGCGTGTGATCCTCCGATTTCTCCAGCTGAGTAGGTTTGCACAATCTTTTCTGGCAATGCATGGTTGAGAGTAATCTGTCCCATACATCCAACGAGCCTTTTCATCTATTGCCCTGGAAACAGATAGCATTGCGATAGTTCGAAAGAGTACATGATAAAGCAGCAGAAATCAACATTGCAGGCTGTGAGGGTGGAAGTGGATCCTCTCGATTACTAGCAATTCCACTCTCAGGATTCGATATGGTAACGATTACAGGAAGGATTACACGAATGGGGAACTAGGGTTCATAGCCAGCGAGAAGGAGGAAGGGGAATAGAGCCGAGCCGCCGAAGCCGTGATCCACTGGATAACCCTAGCTCGCTATCGCCTCTCTACTTAAGTAGCTGCCGCACGGGCTTCAGTTAACCCACGCTGGGCCGACGATGCGTGGGTTGGGCTTCCTGGGCCGGGCCGCACGCGGGGTCGTGGAGACAGGATCCTTGGAGCTGCCTTGCGGGCCGGCCTCGTTAGGGACGCTGACATCCCCTCTCCTTGAGCAGAGGCTTGTCCCCAAGCCTCCGCAAGCGGGAAGCGCTCCTTGAGCCGTGCCTTGTCTTCCCAGGTTTCGCCAAGCGCCTCTGAATTGGACCAACGGACGAGCACCTGCTCCCTCATCTTGCCCTTCTCCTGGCGCCATCTTGATTGCAGAACTGCCATAGGGACTGCGAGCTCATCAGAACAATGAGGTAACTGAGGTTCAACAGCCGTACCCGTGCTCAGGACGCGTCGAAGGAGCGAGACGTGGAAGACTGGATGGATTGTTGCTTGCGACGGGAGCTGTAGCTTGTAGGCGACCTCGTTGATCTTGCTGATGATAGGAAAAGGCCCGTAGTACTTGAATGCCAGCTTGTGATTTGCCCGTGGAGCGACGGAAGTTTGGATATAAGGTTGTAGCTTCAGGTAGACTTGATCGCCCACTTCAAACTGACGGAATGATCGTTTCTTGTCCGCCTGGCTTTTCATCAGTTGCTTTGCTCTGTTCAAGTGTTGTTGTAACAGTTCCTGCACCGTATCCCTTTCCTCGAGCCACGAGTTGAGGGCTGGGACAGAACAGGTGTTTTCTGCTGTTATGCCCCAGTGCCGTGGCTCGTACCCGAACATAGCTTTGAAAGGTGTCATGCCAATGGCCGAATGGTGAGAGGTGTTATACCAAAACTGAGCCAAAGGTATCCAGAAACT